GTGAGATCTTTTGGCGCTTAGAAGTCACAAGTGTACATAAGAAAAACACTTACTAGGTATACGTTGTGACGCTGTGTAGGCCGTGCAAAACTCAAGTTAAATACTAGTAGAGCAATCGAAATCACGCCTCACGGTCGGCGCGGCCCGCGGAGCTCAAAACGGGCTCAATTGAGTTTGGCGGCCTCTACAGGAAATTAGAGAGATTTTGCAAAAGTGCCGTGCCGCTGCCAGAAAAAAAACTTCCGAGAAATAATGCGTGTGCGGCACACCTGTGACATTCGATCATGCAAATCCGATGCCGCAGCAAATAATTCTTCGGTCATTGCTGCCGTAGCCAGCAAACACTTTCGACGCCTTTTTACGAAGTATTTTTATTCAGTTTTGAGCTTGTTTTATTTAATTGCGCGCGCGGTCATTTCACGATGTCATCTGACGCGGGCACGGCGGAGACAACAGACGCGGGCACGACGGAGACAAATGACTCGGGCACGACGGAGACAACAAGGCGGCGCAACTGGAACGACGAAGAGGACGTCATGTTACTGCGACAGATCTCAGCCGACCGCCCGTTCGCCCAACATCACGGCCGGCTTCGTATGGCATGGGCAAAGGTAGCTAATACGCTCATGTCATGCGAGGAGTTTACTCGCGAAGTCGATGCCAAGAAGATCCAGAACCGCTTCAGCGCCCTCCTCGAAGCCCACAAAGCATTCAACAAAGGGTCTGCTGCGAAGTCGGGTGTGGACGAGGACGAAACGGAGAAGATCATGCTACTTGACGACCTGACCCAGCAATACGCGGAAGCAAAGGCCAAGGCGGCAGAGCTTATCGAAGAAAAGAAGGCCAAGAACAACGAGTCCGAGACCGCCGGCCAACTCGTTCGCGACCGTGCCATGACGACGTGCACCAAGCGCAAGGCCGAGGATCCTCCCGCACGACGAAACGCCGACACGGGTGTGCTCGAGTTCTTGAAGCGTGAGTCCGACAACGCCAAGGAGTTCCAAGCCGAATCGCTCAAGCTCCAGCGCCTCCATTTTGAGGCAGACTTAGCCGAGCGCCGACGGGAACGCAACGACCTTCGAGAAGAGCGCCAGCGCCAACGAGAGGACGATGAGCGACGGCGTCGCGAAGAGCGTGAGGAAGCACGCGCCGAGCGAAAGGCCGTCGAGCGTCGTGAGGAGCGTCGGTACCAGCTGCACTTAGCAGAATTAGAGACGCGGAAGCTCGAACTGGAGATGATGCTTAAGCGGCAGGGATAAACTCGACTGAACACGACGTTTCAAAGCATGAATTTCGTCCATTATATCGTTAACGGGACAAGTATTCTTCAAGTGTCGGAGGCACCAGACCAAAGTAGTCCGAGGTTTGATTACCGCCGTAATAGCAGCAGTTGAGGTTAGTGAGGAACATCGCGACCTTGACAATCTTGCCGACGGGACTAAGCATGATCTTTTGTTGCGGTGTGAACTGGAGGCTTGCCCATAGCGTCTTCATGCGACCGAAGTTCCACTCGACCGACTGGCGCACTTGGCTCATGCTGCGGTTGAACTCCTTCTTTTGCCAGTTGACGTTGTTGCCCTTGTAGCCGACCATGACCCAGTTGGAGATCCCGTACGCCGGGTCGCCGTAGATCATGAAGTCGTTTAACGTTTGAGGTCGGCCTTCGACGGTGCGGATTTGACCTCGCTCTTCTTCATCCGCGTCCTCGCCGTCCGCGCCTTCTTCAAACGTCAGAGATTGGCCTTCAAAGAACTGGAGGAGCTTGCTGAAGCGCATCACCGTCGTGTCATGGCGTCGTCCTTCAACGGGGCCGTACACGTGGATGCAAAGCCCGTCGGGGGCCGTAAGGCCTTGGTAAACGAGGCAGTGGCGACGCTTGTGGCCGCTGTAGATCAACCGTTGCAGATTCATGTCGGGCTCTGGTGCCGAGGCTGCCGAGATACGACACGTCGGGACCTTGGTGCCGTCGACGAACGCAAAGACATTTGTGGTCGGAGCGCCGCGGCGATGAATCGCCTCCGCGTACGCTTGGATACGCTGGCGGTCGACGACCTTGGCAAAGTAGATGATATCCCACCATGTCCTGTAGATCAGATCCACGACGTAGTAAAAGATCCGACAGAGTTGCGGACGAGAACGACCGAACGTACTCATCATGTCGTAGTACGTCGTTGGAAACCTCAACCGATACAGAACGATGCAAAGTGATTCGTCACCTAGCACGCGGTACCGGTCCACCGTTACGATGACGTGGGGGATACCAAGTTGCGTTCTCAGGCGTTGAATGCCGTCGACATCGAACCGAAAGGAAAGGACAGCGTCGGCGTCGCTCATCTCTAGGAGTTTGAAGCGGACGTCGGGAACCAGAGGTCGCTCTACAGAGCGGGACAAAAGCACTGCGAGCGCCATACGAGCATACGGCTTATCGCGGTTCTTCCGATACCACCGCAGCAGCAAGAGGTGCATGGGCTTCATCTGCGCGCGAAATCAAACTGATGCCCCCGGATAAGTAATTCATTATCCGGATGATCAGCTGGCAGGGCAAATGGTTGGTTTGCAAAATCACAATTCTGGTTTGCCAGGCCCTTGGCACTCCTGAAAATTTGCGACAATCGGAGGAATGGCAACGGTACGACACAATTTGCAAAATCTCTCTATTAGTGACTCCGAAAGGCCCGAAAAAGGTCGAGTGGCGATACTGTCTCTATAGAATGATTTAAGCTATCTTCATGCTTCAACAGAGGGAATGCGAAGACGCTCTGTATGTTTAGGCAAACTTGTCATTTGCTCGCTCAAAATGGGTCGATTGAGCTCATATTTTGATTTTGAGAAAGGTTTTGATTTATACTCGCGTTTTGTCGGGCCCCTGGCTCATTTCCTATGCGTTTGATTGTGCTGGGCCCACTAGAGACGAGCAATCTTCTTAGCCGTCGACTTTACTTGCTTTCGGGCCATGATCACGGGTCGCGCGCCGGCGGCGTCGTCTTGGCCGATTGATACCTTGATATTTTCGTAGGCACGTTGCTTGCAGTCTCCCTAGCTAGGATGCACGGGTCGTTGTCGATCTTTTATGCTCGATTGTGGTCGCCCGGTGCCAAGACGCGCTTGGCGTACCGGTAGGTCTAGGGTAGGGTAGGGTTGGCTTCTCAACCTCTTTCTGGCTTGCTAGCCGACAATTGACAGTAATGACACATTTTGTGGCATCCTACTCTATTAACTTTATCCATAAACGAACCTCCAATTCTGGTCGACAGGCAAATACGATCGTATCTTAGGCGATACTCGACTCGTCGCCGAGCTGCTTGCGCAGACACAGGACCACGTCGGCCGCCGACGGCCGCGCCGCCGGACCAAACGCCAAGCACGCCAGCGTGAGGCGCTGGTACCACGCGGGGCACTCGGCGCTGAGCTCGGGCAGGCGGGTGCCCGCTCGGACGTCGTTGAGTACCGCAAATGAGTTCATCGTCGTGTTTGTATACGGTCGCTTGAGCGTATCGAGCTCTGCGAGAATGACGCCGAGCGAGTAAATGTCGGCCGACGGTTGCAGCAAAGCGTCTGCATCGAGCGCTTCGGGGGCCGTCCAGAACGGCGCGCCGGCCGTCATCCACAGCGCCTCGGTGCGGGGTCCCGCGATCCCGCCATGGGCTAATTTGACGCCCTTCGTAGTGCTCAAAAGGACATTGGCCGACTTGAGTGCTCCGTGGACCATATCAATGCTATGGAGATGCGCGAGCGCTTGAGCAAGTCCAAACGCGATCTGGAGCTTGAAGAGAAGCGAGATCGTCGACGACGTCTTGATCGCCATATCGAGATGGGCGCGGAGGTTGCCCATGTCCATGTATTCAAGGACTAGCTGTGTCTGGTTGTGGGCTAAGATGCGGACGACATGTGGACTCGAGCATCTAGTCAAAGACATTGTGGGCGGAACGGTGAGTAGCGGCGGGGACGTACGCGATGAGGCGGCGCACGTCGCTCGTGCCCGGCGTGTGGAGCTCCTTGACCGCCACGAGCTGGCCGCGGAAGACGCCCTTGTAGACGGTCCCGTCGACGCCGTGGCCAAGGATCGCGTCGTGCTCGACGATAACGTCGTCGTCGTTCAGTGGGCACGCCATTGGCAAATGAACCCACTGACTTTGTTCACGAGCCAAAACAGGCGGCGGCGGCGTGGCCAATCGGCACCAAGACGCGCTGCTGCACCGAAATGATAGCCGTGCGTACACTGTATTTACACTGTAATTTGGCTGCACATCTTGCATGAAATATGCATTCAAAGAGGTTTTCGGTGCTAGGCCGTAGTCATCAGTGCTGTCCCGTAATCGGACGTGCCAATCAGAAAGCACGAGGGACTGGGAACTGAAGTACGCAGCTCCTCGCAGCTCCTTGCACGCTGGAAAATACGACGCCGTGCAAGGCAACGACGGACGTGCTTGTTGTCGTCATCATTTCCACGGCCGTTTCAAGCGCGGCGACAAAGAACAACACCGTCGATCGTAAACTAAGTACTGAGTGCCTAGCTTCGGCTTGCGCGTCGTCATTGGCGAGGTGCTGGCCATCGCTTTGCATTCTCGTTAGTACAGCGGTGCGCTACTAGTACGTCCGCTGCGCTTGGTCGTCTTCCGAGTTGATCGTGCCATTCGTGATATCAGTTTCTGCAGGTGGTGCCAGTGCCTCAGAGTTGCACACAGCTGTGTGAAATATCGAATGCCGCCCATCGCGAACGCCCATCGCGGTGCTTGCGAGGCCTGTCGGCGCTTCGAATTTTGAGTTTATAGCTCCCAGCACCACGCGCCATGGCCAAACGCACGTCGGCGTAACCTCCGAGATGGCCTTTCCGAGATTGCACTTTCCAGATTACCCTTTCTGCACGGCATGAGACGGTATTGGGAAAGTCGTTGCAACATGTTGCGTGGCACCAGCCAATCGTGGCCGCCATGGCCGACGGACGCCACGCCAAGCGCCGCCGCGGCGACCACGTCGCGCTGCGGGTCCTACTCGACGCGACGCTTCTCGTCAAACTCATCCAGCCGTACCAAGATGGTCTCTTTCTCGAGCTCCGCCCGCGCTATGCCGAGTGGCGGCTCCTCGCCTTGCGCCACACTACGTTTGCGTACGCGATTGGCCCCATTCCGGCGCGCTTCCGCGACGACTTTGCCGCCAAGCGGCCGCTCGACACGCTCTGCATCGATGGAATTGGCGACGACCGCTTTGTGCTCCACGTCGCGATCCGCGAAGGCAACTTGCCGATTGTGCGCCGGTGCGTCGTCAATGCGCCGTCGCTGCTCACACCCGCATCCATTGTGTGTGCGAGCCGGCACGGGCACCTTGACATTGTCCTGTACCTCCACACTGTGCATGGCTGCGCGCCGACGCAGCCCTCGCTTGACGTCGCTGCCTCGCACGGCCACCTTCCGATCGTGGCGTACCTCACCGAGTTTACCGCCTGTCCTGCGACGGTCCATGCGCTCGATGGCGCTGCGGCCAACGGCCACTTGGACGTCGTGTCGTACTTGGACCGCATCCGCGGCGAAGGCGCGAGTATGCGTGCGATGGACGCCGCCGCGGCCAACGGGCACCTCGACGTGGTCGCGTACCTGCACATCCATCGGGTCGAAGGCTGCACGCGGGACGCCATGGACGAAGCGGCGATCGCGGGCCATCTCGACGTTGTCCAGTTTCTTCACGAGCACCGACGTGAAGGCTGTTCTGTCGACGCCCTCGACGGCGCGGCGGCGCGCGGCCATCTCGAAGTCGTCCAGTTCCTCCACGACAACCGGCACGAAGGCTGCACACAAGACGCGATGCACGCCGCCTGCGCGCACGGGCATTTGGACGTAGTCGAGTTTCTGCACGAAAATCGCGACGAAGGCTGCTCGGTCGAAGCGATGGACGGTGCAGCGACCTTTGGTCACCTCGATGTCGTCCAGTTCTTGCACGTTCATCGACGCGAAAAGTGCTCTGCGCGTGCGTGGCGCGGCGCGTTTGAACGGGGGCATCTCCCCGTGCTGCAGTTTCTCTGGCGATGGTATCGACCCCAGTGTAGAGTCGCCGATGCCCACGAGCTTGGTTGGTGTTAGAGCGTAGTACTGAATAGTATATGCCGCTGCGCATGTGAGATACTGCTCATTGATGGATGTCCTCGCTATCAGTCCTCGTGTCCCAAAGCGCACAAGATGCACATTATGTGTACTGCGAGTCAACAATGTGGTCAATGCCAAGATATAGTGTCGGAATTGACTGTGAAACGCTGCTTTGTCGGAAATCAAAAGTCAAGAACGTCATGTCATTTCATTACGCAACATGAAGCACACTCAGAGAGCGAACGAACGTTTAGTAGTTGTCGCCGGTCGAGCCCGACGACGAAGGGCACGGTGGCTTGGTGTGCGGGTGCGTGGTGTGCGGGTGCTTGGTGTGCGGGCCCTTGGTAGGTGCGTCCGTTGGCGCATCGCTGGGCTCGTTGGTCGGCTCGTCCGAGGGCTCATCCGTAGGATCATCACTGGGCTCGTCGCTGGGTTCATCCGTAGGCTCGTCGCTGGGTTCATCCGTAGGCTCGTCGCTCGGCTCATCGCTGGGCTCGTCACTCGGCTCGTCACTCGGCTCCTCGGTGGGCTCCTCGCTGGGCTCGTCACTAGGATAGTCACTAGGCTCGGTGGGCTCCTCGGTGGGCTCCTCGGTGGGCTCATCACTAGGCTCGTCACTCGGCTCGTCACTCGGCTCGTCACTGGGAGCGTCGGTGGGCTCGTCACTGGGAGCGTCGGTGGGCTCGTCACTGGGGGCGTCAGTCGGCTCGTCACTGGGGGCATCGGTGGGGTACTCTGTGGGCGCGTCCGTGGGCACCTCCGTCGGGAGCTCGGAAGGCACTTCCGTCGTCGCGTTGGGGGTCGGCTTGGGATGCTTGGTGTGCGGGCGCTTGGTGTGCGGGTGCTTGGTGTGCGGGTGCTTGGTGTGCGGGTGCTTCGTCGGGGCATCGGTTGGTGTGTCAGATGGTGCGTCCGTCGGCTCGTCGGAGGGGTACTCGGTCGGCTCATCCGACGGCCCATCGGTCGGCTGGTCCGTAGGCTCATTCGAGGGCTCGTCGGAAGGCTTCTCGGTCTTGTCGTCCGTGGGGTATTCGGTCGGGTACGCCGTCGGCGCGTCCGTCACGTTGCCGCCGTTGAGGCACGCGGCCTTGGTCGGGTTCTCGCTCGAAAAGATCGCAGTCGCAAACCACTTGCCGCTCGTCGGCGACTTCTTGACGCCAAAGCCAACGTGCTTGTAGCCGCTGTTGAGAATGTTGGCGCGGTGGCCGGCCGAGTTCATCCAGCTCGTCGTCATCGTCTTGGCGTTGCCTTCGTAGTCGTACAGAGTGTTTTCGCCGCAAGCAACGTTGCCGATGGCCTTGCAGCGCTCGTCAAAGCCGTTGTGGTCAATGTTGTCAATGCCAATCTCATAGTCGACATGGCTCGCGCTGAGCGCGCTAAGCTGCGTGTCGAGGCACGTAAACGCTTCGAGACCGTTCTGCGTGCGCTGCGCGTTGTGTTCCGTAAAGAGGTCTTGAACGACGTCGCCGGCCGCAAGCACCGCGAGCGTGAGAATGAGTTGCACTTGCATGGCAAATGAAATTGAAAAATGAGGTCTCGGGGCGTGGTCGACGATGATGAGAGCGACCTTTCCCACTTTGCACATGGCTGCGAAGCAAGTCGTTGTCCGTTCGTACGCGCTGGCGGCGCTTCGAAACCAGCTTGCGTCGTCGTGGAAGGGTGTCCTAATGCAAATAGCGTCGTCGTCCATCGAACAGATGCCTTGTCGTTACGACGTTGGATGCAGCTGTACAGTTACCGACCAATGACGTGGCGTCGTGTGCACGCTCGGGAATGTCAAATGCTGTACCGCCCTCGTATGCGCTTCCACATGTCCCCGCAAGAACGAAAACACTGGACGATATGATATTTGTGCCAACGCTTTCGTCGAGAAATCGTCAAACAGGCTTGTTTTGTAGAAATTCCTGGCAGAAAAATCTTGTTGCCTAAATGCATATTTGGCTGGAAAGTTGACTCGGAGGCACACTAGAGCTCAGTACTGCACCAAGCGCATAGAACACCTTTAATGCGTACTTTAAGAGGCCAAGAGGCTGCTCCATCGATGTGACGACGTGAGCTGTCACGCTACCACGAGCAGCACTTGACTGGCGCGCGTTATCCGGATACCAGGTCATGTCGAGGCGTCGACGGTGAATTGCTTTCTCGACGGTGGGACGAGGACTTTGGCATCGCCACGACGTTCCCTGTACTGGCCAATGATGCTTGTTCAGGAATGTAGACTTGTGTGCGTCGTATGCGCCGTCCCTACATGCAACACCATAGCAAACACACGCCTTGATACCGCGCGTATATATGCGAACAAAGAAGCCACGCACGTGCCCGTCGCAGGATGCATCGGTGCTTGCCAAGTCCACTCGCTCGTTTCAACGTTGAACTATGCAATGCGCTCCAATACCGCATGCGACAACGGAATGTACCGTGCGGAACATTCCCTTCGTTGTGGACAATCGTATTTTAGAATTCTGTGTACTCGACTTTGAAAATCCTATCCTGCACGTATAGGTGTATCCGAGTACGACCGCTGGTATCCAACGACTATCCTTGTGCCCACAGGGAGGCTCGCATTCAACCACTTGCTGAACGGCACAAAAGCAACCCCGTGACGAACCGACACGCCCGTTTCAAACGTACAAAACACATGTTTTAAACACACCAAATCTGTGGTGACATAGTGTTCCTTTAACTACTCGGTCGTGCGCAGCGCTCGCGCGGGTGTCGATGGCGGGTGCGTCTTGTGGTGCTTTGGTGTTGCGACGCTCGTGCCAACGACAGTCTCGGCGGCCGTTTGAACGCAGCTCGCCTCCTTGTGCGGGTTGGCACTGGCGAACAGCGCAGTCGCAAACCACTTGCCGGTCGTGCTCGACTGCTTGACACCAAAGCCTGCGTGCGTGTAGTTGACGTTGAGGATGTTGAGGCGGTGCGGCGGCGATGCCATCCAGCTCTCGGTCATCGCGCTACCGTCGTCGACGTAGTCGAAGAGCGTGTTCTCGCCGCACAAGACTTGGTTGCTCACACCGAGACAGCGCGCGTCAAAGCCATCGTGGTTGAGTGCGCCTAGACTCACTTCGTAGTCGGCGTGGCCTTGGCTGAGCATATTGAGCTGGCTATCGAGGCAGGCAAACTCCGGGATACCGTAGTGCTTGCGGGCGAGGTTGTGGGCGTTGAAAAGGTCCTGGACGATATCGCCGGCGACGAGCGTACTCCAGAAAAGGACAACTGCTGCGAACATGACAAATACTTGAATGCATTGTCCAAGCCCATCAACTCGTTCCGGGAGATAGAGGTTGCAGTGTGGAGGAGATAGCTATGCCGAGGGTGGTGTTCGTGTTCTGGACGCCAGCATCACAAATGGGTGCTCTTTTAAAATTACAACACTGATTTGGGTGCGTATATCTCTTAAAATTTCAAATCAGGTGCGTTTCGATGCCTTCTTGCGAGGGCAAAGCAATCGAAGCCGTGTGCAACCTATAGTGCACATGCATCGACACGCCGTCGACGCAAGCCGCTCCGTTCCGGCAAATGCGTTCTCTCTCCAACGATGCAACAAACCGCCACGATCGTTTTGGTAGGGGCAAATAAGAAATAGCTAAGAAATAGCTAAGAAATAGCTTTCTTATTCACGCTTGGTTGTCGAGATCTCCACTGCGAGAACACTATTAGTTGTATCTGTGATGTCGCCTCATTACCGCATTAGCCTTCCGTTTCCATCTACCGATCGACGGCGAAGGTTCCTATTGCTAGTCGATCTACAGTCACCGCACCAACGCGTTCTTTGCAGCCATTGCTCGCCACTGTGTCTGCTCGGGCTTCCGCATACCGCAGCTATTTCGATCTCAGTAGGTCACGCACGCTGCACCACCTCCTTTCTTAATGGCTAATGGAAGGTATTGCACCACCAGTGGGTAACAGCTTGGCGACAGACAGCAACCATACAAACTTGCGGCAGTTGTGGTCGAAATGCCCGCTTTGGCCCGTTTTGCTATCGTAAATGAATCTCGACAGCGGCGCGCACTTGGCATTTGGTACCTAAACCTATGTAGGATAGGTAGCAGGCTGCTCGGTGCTGTGTCTCGGCCTTGGTGCCAATTTGGTGTTATGAATAATGAATTTCGATGGAATTGAAGAAATTAAAAGTACAAGTTCAATGTGCAACGCTCTGCGCGGTCGGCGGTCGCTCCAAGTGCCTCAACGACATGCGGCTCGACGTCCACAGGAAATCGATCGACGACAAACGGAACGTCTTGAATCATGGCGAGTGCGCGCAAGACCGCCCGCTTGTCCTCTTTGCTGTCGACCAGCGTAGCGCGCCGCCCGTTCTGCGACTTGATCGTCTGAAAACTGAGCTCCTGGACGTGGCGGCCCGCGGCGACGAGCTCCATGAGGACGCACAGCAGCTCGTGCAGCTTCATTCGGTCGTGGGAGGGGGAGACGTCCAGGCTCGTCAGCTGCGGCAAGCGTGGTGTGGCCGCTAGCACCGCCGCAACACCATCACGGCGCATACCGTGCTCGTTCAAATTCAGGTGAGTCAGATGCGTACACGAGGTCGCGAGCGCGTCCATGAGCTGCACCGCAGCGTCTTCCGAGGCCATCGCACTCTTCCCAAGGACGAGCGAAATGAGCGCCGGCACCGTCGACAAGCCAGCGACGAGCGCCTCGACGCCGTCGGCCCGCAGGCCGTGGACTTCGAGCGACTGGAGTTGCGCTAGCATGGGTGCTGCGGCCGGGCACTGCGCAACTCTGCCAAAGACGCTGCAACCAAAGTGCTCTAGCTTGGTGGCGCCCACGGCAATCGCGAGGTGCTCGATCGTCGCGTCGTTGACGTCAAGGTTGTGGAAGCGAGCGTCGAACTCGAAGCGGTCCAAGGACGGCGGGAGCGTGCGCCCGCGGAAGCCCAAGATGTTAACGACGCGGTGAAGCGACAGCTCGGTGAGCGTCGTGTTGGCTTGCAGCGCATCGCAGAACGCTATCGCGGCGTCATCGTCCATGTGTGCGACGTCGCGCAAGCTCAGACCCGTCGTCGGGGCTGTGGATAGCCACGACGCCAGATAATGCCCGAGTCGCGGGGTCGCATGCGCGTCCAGGAGACTGACGCTCAGCTGCTCGACGCGCGGGTGGGCAACCGCCGCCAGCAGATTGCTAAGCTCGACGCGTTCGTCCGCGTTGTGGTTGTTGTTGCGTGACGCCGCGACATCGACCAACAGCTCGCGCAAGCACGGGCACTGCTCCAAGAGGAGATTCGCGATCGTTTGGCCTTGGCCGTCGACCATGATCGTGTCGTTGAACACTAGGCTGATGTAGCTCAGCGCGGGACCGATGCTCGGGACAAGCTGGACCAACGGCGCCGCTTCGTAGATCTCGCACTCGACGTCGATACATAAGCGCAGTGGTAGTGTCTTTACCAGCATTGGCAAAACCTCGTGCGGCAAGTCCGCCGTCTCGGTGAGCATAAGGTGGGGCCAGTCGCTATAGACGTAGGACGGCGCCAAGCTGCAGACGTCGACAAAGGCCGTGAGCGCCGGCGTCCAGAGCGACCGAGGCACCGCGTCGAGAAAGGCTGCAAAACCGTCACGCGTGTCAAGGGACGTGGCAACCGCCTCGATCACATGCGGGAAGAGGAGCCCGTCCGGCGGCGTCGCGCGGCCCTTCTTCGTCTTGCGTTCTTCTTCGTCAGCCATGCTTGGAAAGACCGAGAGTGCACTTTGGTACATTCCGATGCCCATCTCGAAAATGATTGGTTGAATCGCTTAGAACGTAATCAAACAGGTCCATCACGAAATCTTGGTTGCAAAAGCAATCGATGCTCTGAATCAAGAAATCTGGATTCCGATCTCTAAGCGACATGTCCGAATCATGAAATCCCGACCAAAGAAGTCCCTATCCTGAAATGGATTTCACGCTCTCCATTAATTATTGTTTGAGTTGCGAAAAGTTAGCGAGCGCGCCATGCTACTTGAGGATATCTCGGACCTTGTGAGTTGAGCTCGATGCCTCTTCGAGCTCATAAATATGTGTAGACGGAAGCGGCGGTGGACAAGAAAAAGGCGGCCAAGGAAGACAAGGTGAAGAAGGTCGACAAGCGCGAGAACGACGGCATTCGTGCTGCGGCGTTGCAAGGTCTCAAGCGCAGGACAGCAGACGGCGACGACCAGGAATCGGACTATGATAACAACGCCGAGACGCCATCGAAGAAGACCAAGCGCGCCGCTGCGGCGACTAGCGACGTGGCGAGCATTGTTCAGGCCATTTCCAGCATGATCGAAGCGACCAACAAGCTGAAGCAAGACGAACTGGCCGCTAAGCAAGAGAAAATTGCCGCCAAAAAGGAGGCGGTTGCCGTGATGAAGGAAGAGCTCGCGCTGAGTCATTGCAAGCTTCAACTGGAGGAGCAGCGGTACCTCCTTGACAAGTCCGAACACGAGGCTCGATTCCAGTTGGAGAAAACAGAGCGCGAGGCCCAACTCGAGTTCATGCGTAGCACGATCGAGATGATGCGGTCTATGACCTCCAACAAGTAAACCTTCTCCATTGAGATGTGGTGCTGAGAGATGCAGATACTCTTCTGCCGTTGGGGGGCACAAGTCGGAGTAGAGCGACATTTGGTTTCATCGCTTCATTCAACCGGTGCATGAGCTCGGTACGAGTAAGCGTCGAGTGGGGATTTGGCATCGTCCGCAATTTGTATACACGGATTACAAAGGTGGGCAGAAGCGCTGGCTTCAGCCGCTCCTACTGTGTTGCCGTTCTGCTCACCACTGGTCGTACATGAAATCGGCCTTGCGCTCGTCAAGATTGGCGCCTTTGAAGCCGGACACGATCACTTCGTGTACGCGGGATCTCTGTAAATAGCGCACCAGCTCTGTTGCTTGGTGAGGCGGACCTTTGACAGACAATCTGTCTCACTTGGAGCGGCAACGTTGAAACGTGTACTTGGAATGGAGATGGCCCGGGAGCTCACACAACCAACGAGTTGGACAAGGAGCAAGCAGTTCGTCGTCTATGGGCCAGTCGTGAAATTTGAAAAATCGCGTTTGCAAAAACATTGGACACGCGACTCCCTTCTCACGAACTGGCTCGTGTTCCGAAAGTTGAACCTTCAAAAGAAATCTTAGTGGCAAAAGCAGTCTAATATGGGTCAATAATTAGATTATTGACCCTGGAGTCTAATGGCGATGGAGGGATTCCCTTGCTCAAAACCTTGGAGAGACGACAGTAATCGTCTTGGTCCATTCGACGCTATCAGTGTCGTCTGTGCTAGCAAGGTTGTTGATATCATTACTTTCAAAGTTGAGCTTGTGGCACCGCCTCGTTCCATGTGCAAGTTTCCATCGACTAGTCCATCTATGTTGCAGATAGCAACCAAAGGGTATGCTATCGACGGTACAGTGTACTAGTCGCTGTGTGCTTCAAGGTTAATTGCCAAGTCACTCGTTTGTCGAGGGCAAAGACGAGCCCGTCGAGGAGTCGAACGTCTCGGTGGATGGGTCACCTCGGCATGATCGAATGTATGATCTGAGTATGTAAAGCTATTTTGGCGTTTATTATATACAATCTCTAAAAGTTGAGGTATAACTGACAACGGTCCGCACGCTCGGCCGTCGCACCGAGAGCGTCGACGACATGCGGCTCGACGTTGGCTGGGAATTGATTTAGGACAAACGGAACGTCGTGGATCATGGCGAGTGCGCGCAAAACCGCGCGCTTGACCTTTTTGCCATCACTCAGCGGTGCGCGCACGCCATTGACGGTCATCTGCCGCATCACCGTCTTCACGTAGAGCTCACGGACGTGGCGGCCCGCGACGACGAGCTCCATGAGGATGTACAGCAGCTCCGGCAACGTCATGACGTTGAATTTTGGCGACACGTCCAGCGACGTTAGCTGCGGCAAGCGCGGTGCGGCCGCTAGCACGGCGGCGACGCCATCGTAGCCCATGGCGTGCTCGTTCAAATTAAGACGACTCAGAAGCGGACACGAGGTCGCGAGCGCGTCCATGAGCTGCACCGCGTCGTCTTCCGAGGTCATCTGACTCTTTTGCAGGGCAAGCGTTGTCAGCGCCGGCACCGTCGACAAGCCAGCAATGAGCGCTTGGACGCCGTCAGCGGGCAGCGCGATGACGTCGAGCGACTGCAGCTGCGCTAGCATCGATGCAGCGGCTGGGCACTGCGCGACTCTGCCAAAGACGCAGCAGCCAAAGTGCTTGAGCCGAGTGGAGCCCACGGCGATGGCGAGGTGCTCGATGGTTGCATCGTCGACGTCGGGCGCGCCGACGCGCGTCGCCCACTCGAGATGTTGCAAGGACGTTGGAAGCGTCCGGCCGCGTAGGTCCACGAGGTTGGCGACGCGACTGAGCACGAGCTCGGTGAGCGTCGTGTTGGCTTGTAGTGCGTCGCAGAACGCCATCGCCGCGTCGTCGTCCATGTGAATAATGTTGCGCAGGATCAGACTCGTCGATGGGGCTCTTAAGAGCCATGACGCCAGGTAATGCCCGAGCCGCGGCGTCGCGTGAACGTCGTGCAAGCTGAGCAGCAGCTGCTCGACGCGCGGGTGGGCGACGACCGCCAGCAGATTGCTAAGCTCGACACGCTCCTCGTTGTTGTTGTTGTTGTTGTTGAACACAGCGTGAATCAAAATATGGGTCATGCGTGGGCACTGCTGCAAGAGAAGATCCGCAATCGTTTGGCCTTGGCCGTCGACCATGATCGTGTCGTCGAAAGCAAGAATGATGGAGCTCAGCGCGGGCCCGAGGCTCGGGACCAGCTGGACCAACGGCGCCGCTTCGTAGATCGTGCACTCAAAGCCCATGAGCAAGCGCAACGGCAGCGTCTGCACAAGCATGCCCACAACCGTTGGCGATAAGTCTGTCTCGCAGAGGATGAGGTACGGCCAGTCGTCGTAGACGCTCGACGGCGCCACGGTGGTGACGTCGACAAAGGCCGTGAGCGCCGGTGTCCAGAGAGAGCGCGGCACCGCGTCGAGGAAGCAATTGAATTCAACACTGTTGTCAAGGGACGTCGCAATCGCCTCGATGATATGGGGCTGGACGAGCCCGTCCAACGGCGTCGCGCGGCCCTTCTTCTCGCGCGACTCGGACATGCTTAGAATGGTATCCGGATGACCAGGTCAAAAAGGATTGGTGGAATCTGCAGGAGAGCCCGCCAATCAAATCGATCAATCAAAGGCGATGCCAAGGGATTGGCTTGATGCATTTATGCCAATATATTGGACAATTATTTGCACCAGCAAGGATGACAACCGTTGGTGGGCACAACATTCGAAGCCGTGTACAACCTTCAGTGCCATTGCATCGACCATCGATGCCGGCCCAGCGTTCTGACACGAGCGCTCCAGCAATGCACGTTTTCGAAGGGCCAATTCTACGCTACCAAGCACCAGCGCCTTCTGTGCTGGCAAGGTTTGTTGAGATTGTTACTAAAGTGATGTTGTGGGGACGCCTCATTGCTTGCTGCCAAAGCGCGCTAGCTATTGAAATCTTCTCGTTTGCAGAGGATGATGTGGGGCAGGAGCAGCCCGTCTGGCGGCGTCGCCCGGCCCTTCGTCGTCTTCCGACATCCTTGGACAGTGCACTTTGAAATCCGGATGATCAGAAAAAGTGATTGATGGAAAATTGGAAAATCCCAGAAAATGCTCCAATCATATATGTGGAGGGCGATGATACCGGTTTGCTCAATGCCAGGATCGACCACGACCACCGTTGTTGTGTCGTATACCAAGTGCATGACGAGAAGCGTCCAACATCATTTTCGAGTCGATTAGTATTTATCACATCGACTGCATACTCGAACAAGTATGGACAGAGACGCCAGGAAATGCGAACTGGCTCGAACCAGTTGCGCTTGGCGAACATACCGCCACTAAACGCGGGTATGTGTCGACTAATCAGCCGACCTTGCACCATGATTCGATGCCATTGCGGCAGTCTCGCCGGAGGAAGATATGGAGGTTGTTACCCTAGCCTCACGCGTGCCCGCGCACGGCGGAGAGTCTTGATGCTATCACCGGTATGTCTAGAATTATGAAGGCTCAATTTTCCCGTTTTTGGTTGGGTTTGAATTTTTGGTTGATTGTTTTGGGATTAAACAGCAATTGTTGGTGATTTTTCTGAACGAATGCTTGCAGGTCTTTGATAGCCACGCGCGTCGGCATATAGCCTCTCTGGAGCCACTGCACATGTGGCCGACGCTTTGTTGTACTGAAAGAATTGAATATGAATTTGCTTTCGGCCTCATGCTTTGTTGAGGATACAAAATGACGGGCATTCGCCATCGCTATTGGTTCATTTTCGAGTGGCCGCATCGAACACTCGTGTATATTTCGCTATTCGGCTGTCCAACGTCCCGTACGTGATTAGTGCACGCGAAATCTCGTCTACCATCTTGCGCCCACGCCAGGAAAATTGTTTATTTCCATCGGCTTGTTCAATGTGCGGTCATCGTGCGTTTCAAAAACAGCTGTTTTTGGCCGTGAGAAAATGGACAGGACCGGAAAATCCAGAAAAATACATCCTTTTCCTGGTTCATGTCGTCGTTTTGTTCCACGCGATCGGTTTGATTATAAATATGTCCCTCCCTCCCTTCTCAAAAGTTGCTTCATTGCTCCGCTATCTGTATCCAACGTCGTTTTGTCTGGATACTTTGGCGTTCAGCGATAAGCGGCGTATCCAGCCTCGATCACCTCGTGTCAATGAACATATGGTTTTATCTACCTACGCCACATCCTGGTCGCTCAAACTGTGCATCCCATTCGAACCATTGGACATCCAGATCTCTCGTTCGCCGTCCAAGTCCAGTTTTCATTTTCATATATTTGACGTCATGCAGCTCCTTACTACGCTGTGCACGCTGCTCTCTCTCGCTGCCGCCGACATCCTCGACGACCTCTTCCGTGAACACAACGCCCAGCGCATCCATCACAACCTCGCACCGTTCGCGTGTCTCGATACGCAGCTCAATGCGCTCACGGCCACCCATGTCGCTGGCCAAATCATCGCCCACTCGCTCGATCATACCAAGCTTGCCGCGCGCTGCCACGCCATTGGCCCGAACGCCGTCTGTGGTGAAAATTCGGTGCGCGGCGCTGTCGCCAGCGCCAACGGCATGGTCATGCACTGGATGAACTCGACCAAGCACCGCGCCAACATTTTGAACCCGGAGTTCACCCGTGTCGGGTTCAGCGTTCAAAGAGCCAATGCGTCCGGCGAGTGGGTCGCCACAACTCTCTTTGCAACCGGTCCTACCAACTGCAGTACGCAAACAAAGGGCGATGGGACCAGCACCGGCCTTGCGACAACGTACGGTGGCGTCGATGGCGTCGATGTCAACAGCGGCAACTGCGGTCTCATGGACTGGATCGCGAATGCCAAGACCTTCCATGCAGCCATCAACCATGCGCAATGGGCCTCCGGTACCAACTGCGGCCGGTGCGTGCAAGTGACGTGCGTCGACGACCGGTGTCCGTCCAAGACGCCAGTGCTCGGCCAGGTCTCGGACCAATGCCACGGCTGCGCGGATGGGAGCTTGGACCTGACATTGCCGTTTTTCCAAAAAGTGACGGGCGCGACCACCGACTCGTTTGCGATCGCGTGGCGCTTTGTCGACTGCCCTGTCTCTGGCAACCTTAAGGTCTGTGCCAAGGCGGGCAGTAACCCGTACTGGCTCGCGCTCCAGCCCGCCAATGCGCGCCATGGTGTGGCAAAAATGAGCATCAACGGCGCCGCCAGCGACCTCTTCTCGACGAGCTCCAACTATTTTTTCATGGCCAAAGGCCACATTGACTTGAATGTCGCCAAGGTCGAAATGACGTCAATCGCGGGGGAAACGATCGCGGCGACAGTCTCGCTCACCGCCGGTCAGTGCACCGAGCTGCCGCACCAGTTTCAAGCATCCTACAACCGCGCCTAGTTTGTCGATTCTCGTTGGATGCCTCGTTGTACCAATCTAAAATACAGTTTGTTGGTTGGTACACAAAAGAATTAATACATTTTCTAGAGGTACCCTCGTGTTTTCCTGGTAGTAGGAACGTTTACGTGGTGTACCAGCATCCCAGGGGATTGATTCGGTGTGTCGTGTCTCAATCCGGCCAACCCATTGGCTATATATCGAGCCATTTTGGCCAATGAAACGCAGTTTCATTGGTCTAAGCCAATCGGATTGCGCGAAAGGTGTCTAATTAAGTGCGGTTTTGGTGTTCCCGTTAAGTGCTGGCCATCTTCCGGACGTTATAGTTGATTAAAGTAAAACAATTGCGCTGAAGTGCGCCTGTGTACTTAAACGAAATTCACGCAACTTTCCGATTAGGTGCGATTTCAGAAGCGCGCGAAGACTGCAGCAAGCGACGACGGCGCGTTGGCCCGGAAAAGTCTGCACACCGCAGCGCAGCGAAGGTCGAGCGTTGACTTTTGTCTAGGCCAACGCGCCGTCGTCGCAATACCGTTATCAACGCTTCGCATTCAATACAAAAGTTCCTACCAGCTCACCCCGCAAGGGACCTGTTCTATGGGCAGGTTTGGTCGACCTCTAGTGGTATGTCTGTGTGGTAGCTTGGACAGTGACTGACGCATGTGCCGGACGCGACCTCCGTTTCGCTGCGGTGCATCTGGCGGGCTCTTCCGAAAGATGAGTCTTTGTAGTGTTGCAGCGGCTTCGACGTCCATATTCCTATGTGTGGTGAGGGAGGTGCACGTCCCGATCTTGCTTCGATATGGAGCTCTTTCTTAGCCGCCCTAACATTCGTATTATTTCAGCATTCGGGTCTATCTAACACTTGAACACAATGTTTCAAGGCGTAGTTTTGAGGTCCCGCGCTAGCGCGCAGGACCCATCAAT